GGTTGATGACAGCTAAATTCCTGCATAGAGAAATCAGAGAGAAAGGAGGGGCTTATGGTGGAGGTGCTAAGCTTAGCCACAATGGCATATTCACTTTCTACTCCTACAGGTAACAGTAGGTTCATTCTTTCCTGTTCACATCCCAGGGCATCGCTGACTGCACTCTCGTGTATCTTTTTTTGACTTAGTTGTAGCTCTCTTTCAAGATCAAGTGAAATAAAAAGAATGTTGAATCACAAGAAAGTGATTTAGTGCTGATGATGTTCAGATTAGTTACTTAAGGTGTATCAGTTTTGTTGATGAACCCCTCCTTGCTTTCTCTGGTTGCTGTCCTTAGGAAAGCTAACTTACCTCTGCTGGTAGCAACTGTGGTGTTGCTGTACTTAGATGTTTACTGTCTCGGTACCAGATTTATGTAGAACTGGTTTTCGCTTGTTTCTTCCTGGATTGAGGAGGCCCTAAAAATGGGAATTCAAGACTATTCTAATTTGAGACCAGGAAGTAGAATGTTGTTGTTGTTCCCCACGGTCCTGGGTTTGAAGATATGCTGCTCCCTTTGGTGGCTGTGGCTGGAATCATCAGAGATCCATCAGAAAGCATTGCTGGTGAAGAGCTAGAACAGCTTTCTCCTCCTTTTCGTTTCCTCTTTTTGGCCAGTCCAGAATAGTTACCTTGCATTGGTCTTGCCAAAGTTCTTTTGGATGAAATTTGAACTGGTATTAAAGACTAGTCATAATCCTCACTAAAAATCTTATGTGGCTGGAGTCCTGGCTTAAATCGGTTCCCTAGACTGAAGGCAGCCTAGCACAGTGCCTGGTCAGGATTCCTAGCTAAAATTTGAGCAGCCTTCCCTCTCTGTGACGCTTCAGCATGGTGGGACTTGTCTTGGTTAGCATTTCACTGGTTGTTAACCTGTTGCACCTGTTTTACAGAGAGCAGGAACAGGTGTAGCAGGAAACACAGCTTAGAGAAGATAGGGCATATCGTACATATTTCTGCCGTTGATATTAACGGCAGCTGTGATTACTAAGCTCTTGCAGCAAATTGATGGTGCATCGTAAACAGTGCTGGTTTACCATCTCTTTAAATACCAGCTCTCTACACGCTGCTGTGGAACTACTTTTAGCCGACTGAACTTGCTGCATTTGTCTATCTAAAATGCAAAATATGCCTGGTTTGCAACACTTCTTTCTTCTGGAAAAAAAAAAAAAAACAAACTCTCTTTTTGTAAGCAAAAAGGAAGTTTATGATTTGTTTGTATGATGGTTAGTAAACTATGAATGAAGCGAGAACAAAGCAATTACAGTATTTCATTTCGTAAGACTACAGTAATTAATTTTACTTTTTTTTTTTTTTCCTAAGAGACCCAAATTCATTAGTCACCTTGAAAACATTTGAAAAAGCAGTTGAATGGGCCAAATCCGGAGAATTCACCCAACAAGATATCGATGAAGCTAAGCTAGCAGTATTTGCTGCTGTAGATGCACCAATAGCTCCTTCAGATAAAGGTATATTTTTGCCATCCTCCCAGTGCTGCGAGTATTTATCTTTTCTATTTTAAATTTAAAGGGAAGAAAATAGTTTGCTAAACTGTATCATATGATTAAATTTGTACTCGGCAGATGTAAGACAATTGCAGTTTCAACGAAGCAGTCAATCCCTGTTGCTCCCTTTCAGAAACACCACACGTGTTCAGTCTCTCTACTGAAGTTTTTGTGCTCACACGGACACCATTGGTGTCAGGTGTTACAGCTGGGAGATGGAGGTAGATTAAAGAAACAATTTTAGGTTCGGAAAGGGCATTAAATGCAAGCAAATAAAAAGAAATACTGGTCTTCCGATTCAAAAAAAAGTTGAAGGATTATTTTCCTGACACAAGTATGCGTATTGACTATGAACGTCACTAATCTTTTGAGCATTACTCTTTTGAAGAAGTTAAAGCTTAAAAGCCTGCCTGCTGCGGTGGAGGGTGTTATCTTCTCTACGTATCTGCATACTTAATGAGTATCTTCACATCTTTTCAGTTTGCTCACACATTGCTTTGCTTTCCGCGCTTTTCCTTCCCTCCCTACCTCATTTTCAGCTTAATTTCAATCCAAGGCTTGCTAAGTTAGAATACATTCCTTTCCTACACACAAAGGAATTATGTTAAAATTAGCATTATTTTAGTAAGTACTTGTATTAACACTAACTTTTTAAAAAAGGAAACTTAAAATGAAGCTGACTTTCAGCTAAGGAAACTTGGTTTTGTTCTGGGCAATTAAAAAAAAGAAATAATTTTAGGTGCCTATGAGTGAAAGGCATCCATATTGAATGTTGGTGTTGTGAGAGTAATGGTTTACATTCTTTGCTATTTGAACACGCATCTTAACAGAGCTGTGGCAGATGTAGTGAGACACTGAATAGAGGAACGTTGTTCAGCAGGCCTGGAAGCTCTTGTGGAGAGAAACACCCGTCCCTTCGTGCTACTGTTGTTTCGGTCATTGGCCCTGCATCAGGACCTTGCCTAACTTTGCAGTCAGCCCTGCTTTGGGCAGGAGGTTGGAGTAGGTGACAGGTGTCCTCCCAAGCCACTTTTTTTCCTTCTATGATTATTTGTGTGACAAAAGCTTTTCTGTGATTACATTGGAGTTCTCTGGTTGTTCATGGACCTATAATATTAAATTTTAACATTAACATTAAAATACTGTAGGCAAGTATTCCAACAAAAAGGTGATCAAACCTTTGTCTTGTGCGTATACTACAACTGGTTGCACATTTTAAGTTTGTTTTTATAAGCCACAATAAAAATAGAAGCTTCATGAAATGCAGTTTGGCTAAAATGTTAGAAAGTACTGAGACTCTTTAGAACAAATCATGTTACGGTGTTTTAGGTTTTCTGGACCACCATTATGTTTAGATTTTTGACAATTTAAATCACTTGCCAGTATAGAATATGATTTTTTTTATATATTTTTTTTATTTTTTTCCTAAATAGGAAACTCTTACTACCTCAGAAAATTAATTTACCCAATTCTAACCTTTGATGTTTGATTTCCAGTTGGGTATTGTCTCAGAACAATGGCCTAATGGTAGTCTCTATTCTTCCCTTCCAGCACAGGTACTGCCTTAGTTTGCACTCGTTCACGCAGTTGGTTATAAGTGAGATTCCAGTACACCAACGCAGCGTGTGGGTTTCTTTTTTTTCCTAGGAATGGATCATTTCTTATACGGGATTTCAGATGAAATGAAGCAGTCGCACAGAGAACAACTTTTTGCTGTCAACAGTGATAACCTGGTTGATGTATCAAACAAGTAAGTCTCTGCTCAATTTAGGAAAATGTTTACTTGAAAAATAAAACAAAAACCTAATCTGAAGAAGAAAACAGTTTGTAAAAGTTGTCATATGTCATCATAAAGTTCTTGGGTTTCTTCCCTTGGTCTTTCGTACTACTTCCACTATTTGCTTTTGTAACCTAGACAGAGATGTTAATTATATCCTGCTTCTTGCATTTTAGCAGATATAACTCCCTCCTACATTCCCAGTTTGTTTTACTTTTGAAGGGTCCACAACTGTCTGGAGAACGAGTATGCTCAGACATCCATCTCCTGGCTTTGTGAGCTGGTTCTTCCAGACTCATAGCATTTTGTGCTTCTTCAGGCTTCTGAATTCCTCTTTAGACTTAAGAATCCAAGGAGATAAAATAGTTACAGCAATGTCTTAAGAGACTGTTGTATTGTGATGACTGGAGAACACTAAATCCAAAAGATGCTCTAAAAGCAAACAATGGGTACATATCAAACAGCACTTTTTCCTGAGATGGGAGTATTTTTAACTTGTATAGCAGAGTTAAATGAGAAACTGCTGTATTCAGTAATCTGTTTGTTTGTTTTTTTTTTTTCTTGCAGATATCTTGCTGCTGGAAAGAGCACTCGAGGTCAAGCTGTACTTGGCCCAGAAAATGCAGATATCACCAAAGATCCCTCATGGGTGAAACGATGAATTGGGGCTGAACATCAAAACTAACACAAAACAAGTCAATGATGTGTGCTATATAATTAGTTTTTTGTTGTAACTTTAAACTGTGCTATGGTCCAACTTAAATGTTGATTGCTGCTTTTAAGTGTCCAACAAACCAGTTAAAAGCTGTTCTTGAAACAACTATGTGAAAAATTTTCTAACCATACAGTATTTGAGAGCAAGAATGATTTCCTGTTATGGCACAGACCAACATTAATAGCTTACTGAAGACTGACTCCTCCAATTGCGTATGAGTACTATATAAATTAAATATTTTTGTATCTGTAAAACTCTAGAATGGTGTTTGTTTGAAATTATGTCTGCTGTTGGATATAAAAAACCCTATGTCTCATACTGACAGATTTCATTCTTTGGTGTGGTAACTCCAGCTTCCTTTGTGTAAGCCACCTGCAGGGGGAGGAGCTTTGTGCCAATCTATTCCACCTTCCATCAAGACGGGGCTGTAGTGGGCAAATCATGAATCAATGAATGGGGACAGGATATTTTTAAGTTTAGCTTATCTTGACAGTTTGGGCAACGTTCAGTCATATTGATATGACACAATCTTGTTTTTAATGTTTTGTCAAGGTCCAGTTAACAGATAAGCTGGCATGAGGAAACATTACTAGTGGCTTTGGCAGCCTCATTTACCCTCTTTCATCATTATGGGTTGTATTTTATTTTAATTGTCTTGCTTGATGTTTCTCTCAGCTTCTTCAAGGACCAGATTACATCCTTCTGAAGCTCACGTTGTTAAAGCTTCACATCCCATGTGTCATCCCACCCCCCCGAAATATTTTTATCATCCCTGTACAAGGAGAAAGGAATCCAGAAGAAGCAACATGAACCAGCTTACCCTGCTGTGACTGCTTCCTGCAGGGTCAGGAAAGGAAAAGGGCAGGTGCTTTTTTCCTTTACTGGAATGTATAGAGAATCCTTCATCAAATGTTATTCCCCCAGTTGTTTAAAAGCAGGCGAATACAATTCTAACAAGTCACTCATGTTTGCAACAGTACTTTATTTAACTTCAGATACATTAAGCACATCCTGTAACTCAAGACAAAGCTAGCCATCTACACTTATTTTTTGGGTGTAAGTACTCTGAAACAAAGTGCAGTAGGTGAGTAACTTACAGAGTGCATAGAAGGGGTGTCGCACTTTTGTTAAAGGGCAGTATCAGTAAATGGTGCTTATCTATTAGATGCTAGGGTTTGCTTCAAACATAACACAAATACAGGACAAAATCTCTGTGACATCTGAATGTCTTGGTTCACATAAAGTGCTGGTACAATAATTTAAATGTTACAAAACAAAGCTGTAACGATTCTAAAGCATTGTTACTCACAATGTGCATCTATTACAATACTCTAAAAGTGATGTCTTTAGATGGCTCCGGTTTCTGCTTCCTTTGGGCTGTGCATAGCAACATGCTCCAGCTGTCCTGAGTCTGAAACATCATAACTTGTCTTGTACTTGGCCAGGATTTTCATCAGTGGTCGCAGCTTCAGCCACCATTGCTCCTTGGGAATCCTGTGCCTGTGGAACAGGTGTGGTGAGGGGAAAAAAAAATAAAGAAATAAGGTGATTTACTTGGTAGCTAGGACCAACACATTTTGTAGGTCATTTGACAACACTAAGAGTAATGGCCTTCCTTATAAATAGGATCAGATATTGACATCCACGGTAGAGTGAAAACACTGACCCCAAATGGGGAGAAATAAGGACAGAATACTGAAGAAACTAACAGATTTTATTGTAAAGATGTTCTTTATAGGTAAATATACCAAATTGGGTGCAGAAATGCTGCCCCACTAAACTGTGGCAGAAGTAATTCAAGGCATTAGAGCAAAGACCATTTTGAGAATGTTATTTAAAAGGAGAGTGGAGTCCCAGAATTCTTAACAAGAGACTTCCAAGTATAAGGAGGACGAAGAGAAAGCACGAAGGGAGTTGTTAGAGAAGACAAGTGAACAATCAAAGTGAATCACTGGCTGATTATAGGGCAAAGACAAAAGTAGAGTAAAGTGGTTGGCAAACGCTGTGTGTCAGCACTGTGGCGAAGATGTTTGATGTGGTGGAAGGAAGCCTGTGTTGGGATGTTTAAAATGTAAGCAGCGTATACGTACACGAAGTCTGTTTCATTCTTAAGCTCAGCCACAGGTTGGAAAACAAGGTTGCGTCTACGCATTCCCAGCAAACAAACTGAGTCATCGGTGTTGGCAAATACTTTTCCTAAAAAGAATGAACAAATTCAGGATCTTTCTTACACTTGTCAGGGCAAATACCCTTTTTCTGTAATTAAATTGAATGGGGAGCTTACGGTAGCTTAATTCCAATTACTGAATATTTAATGTAATGATACAACATCAATTAGTACTTTAATAGGGTTAGGAGATCTTCACTTTTTTGATTTAGCTTTGGTGATTAGCAATGAAAATACAGTGTAATTAAGCAACAGTAAAACTGATTTTTAACATCAAGTTTTAAATTAGATTTTAGTAAAAAACATTTTACAAAAATTCCCAAAGAAGACATATTACCTTCTTCTGTATCCCATGTAGCCACCATGAAACAAAAAGGAAGAACAGATGTAACTATATAACCATCAATTCCTTCATGCACGAAAAACTGCAATCACACTAGCATTTTTGTAAAGAAAGATAAGAAAACAGCTATCTGAATTATTGACCTCACTTGAGGGGAAATCTTACAGTAGGAGCACAGCAAGGCACTACTGATTAATAAAAACATAATCGAGGGAAAGAAGTATGTTGACTAACTAATATACATTCACATGTTTGTGTAGTAGAGCAGCTTTATATCCTGAGAGCTAACCAAGGGCAGAGACGAGATAGCACCAAGTATTTCTGCACCTTTTCGGTAGGTTTCTTGCAGTTTTTTGGAGATCCACTGCATAGCTTTTGCAGAAATTTTTGTCCCGAAGTTTCTATCAAATGGTGAAGGTGCACCACCCTGTGTGAAAATTTAACTGTGTGTTAGTTTAGTTTTTGAACAAGTAATGTGTCTTTATTTTATTAGTCATCTGTTAATGGCCTGCTCTGCCTCTTAGCTCCACTGCCCCCCACCTAGGAAAAAAACCAAACCAATAACCCCACCACACAAATCAAGCTAAAATACATAAAATTTGTGTTAATCCTCACTGAGTCAATAATACTTTTCACTTAGATAAACGGAGGGCACTTTCTTCCCCTTCCCCCTGGCGCTGATCATTCCGCACCACCCAGCTACCACGGGGCGACCTGGGTTCAGCATAACACAAACCAGGCAAGAGGCGACGGAGGGCTGTCAGAGAGGGCCCGAGGAACGCAAGTGCAGACTCTCGGTATCTCAGCAGCCTGGGAAGCGTAGCGCTCTATTGCCGCTAGACAAGGAAGGTCACAAGGCCCTGTGTGCAATATTGGGGTGAAACAACTGTGCTGGGACTTCCTAGACTAGTAATCGCATTCTTTCTTTTTTTTTTTTTTGGCTATTTTCATTCCAAGTATTACAGAAGCCTTTATATAGTTCTGGGAGTAAAAACATTAGTTTGGGGTCTATTTAATATAAAGTCTGGCTTTCCTGTCCATTTTCAGTGCGGCAGATGGGACTGAAGTCACATGTGAAGTAGTTCCAAATAGATGGTTTGACTAACGCTGGTCTTGACCTTCAAAATAAACTTTGTGAAATTTTCTGCATAAGGTGCCAAATGTTGAATAATCAAAAATTATATAGGAGTAAGGGGAATATACATACAGCTTGAAATGACTTAAAAGGAAGGACAGTAGTTTCACTACTAGTACTTGAGAAATTCGGGTCTATGTGTATTTTTTACTCTACCTCAGTCTTGGTGGTTAGTGTAGCCAAATTAGCAACTTACTATTTGCCCACTAACAAGCACTATAGTGAGATAAAGAGATGGAAGGTACAAAGACCACAAGGAGTAGCTCACTACTGTCGCTTCCACAAGAACAATCTATCTGCACATATTTTCTTAACAAAATCTCATCTCTTCCAGGGTTCAGAAGCCAAATACATCACGGATGGGCAGATAAGTGTGTTCTAAGGATGCATTACAATAATAATAATAACATAGCTGTATTATCTATTAAAAAGTGTAATTGTTTATTAATATAGACAGGAGAGGAATAAAAATGAGAATCACTAAGAATCCAATGTGGTTTTTTCTTAGATTTTTAAGAAGGAATTGCAAGAGAATACAATCCTAACAAAAACTTCTGAGTTACCTACAAACAAAAATCCACACACTTTTTTTAATCTTTAATCCCGAGTCAGATGTGCTTGAAATGCTTGAATAGAGTATGCTCTTTGCTCTTACAAAGTTAAGTTTGACTGTAATTTTAAAGTAATTTTCACCTGCTGCATGTGGCCCAATACGTTTTTTCGACAGTCAAACACTCCTTTTCCTTCTTCAGAATACAGCTGATAAATGAAGTCAGTTGTGTAGTTCTCATTGCAATTCTCATTTCTGTAACAATTAAGGCCAGACACAGTTAGCAAATTTACTATTAATTAGTGGATGTCTTTCAGCAACTGAACAGCAAATGTTTTCCCATTTTCTTGATATCAGTAATCATGGCTTGGATATTTTAATCTCATCACATATCTTCACTTTTATGTAACATGCTCCCAATTTTGAAGTCTGCATTACTTTTAGTACAATGACATCACTAGCAGGTCACTTGGAATCCATTATTGATTAAGGTGGTGAAAAATATCATTTTAGGTCTGACATGTTCATTATGCAAAGGAAAAACTGCAATAAAACAAAAATTCATCGACATCCAAAGTCATCATTTTGCCCTTTATAAAAGCAAGGATAATGAACAGTACTTTAGGTTGTTCATTACCAATATTGTCAACATAGGATATTTTCTCACCCTAGTCATATAACTAGTAGAACCTGTACAAATATAAGAGTATCCTCATACGATTTATCGTGGTATTGATTTTTCAGCCCTTTGCTACGTGGCATACTGAAAATAAATGCTCAAGGAAGAGAGAAGCTACAGCCTGATTCATGCTGCCTAAGAAGGTATAATTTTAAAACATGCTAGTCAACATATTTTAAACGTTCTGATTTTTGAAAGCAATTTTATTCTGTGTTATCTCCTAAAATCCAAGTAGGATTTTTATAGTAAAGGCCATACTATATGTGTACACATGCATGCTAGTTTTCACATGATCTATAGTAAGAAAGAATCTACAATAAAAGACAAAGCTGATAAGAAAATAAGCTGGAAATAGGATAAAATATTAGATTATAGAGCAAATATATTTACATAGAAAGAAGGAAGCTTTGGACCTGAGCATCCAGGCAGCTCCCAGGTGCCTTCTGGAGCTACAACTTTAGTAAGAATGTCATGCTAAAGGAATAATCAAGGAATATAGACTTAGAGTGTCCTTGCAAGTGGCCAAACAGCCTACTTGGAGGGAAGTGCTCAGCATCACTGATACCATTTATTAAAACTACTTTTGCCTACCTCAGCACTAGACCACGCTGGATACTGGTTTTCATTTTTTCAGTCAAGTGTTCCACATTAGCCTAGAAAAACCAAAAGTATTTTTATCAAGCCATACAGAACTCTAAAATAACTAATGAGCTTACATATCCTGAGAACTTCTGTAAAGTATTCCACATCAAATATTATGTGGAAATTCAAACAGTCAGCAGGTTTTTGGAGATCCAGGGTAATTTACTGTGTATGGGTATTCATCTTGGGTTAAAACAAAATTCCTTCTCCATGGCATAAATAACTGATTTTAATAGCAACAGAAAGTTATTGTTTTGTATGCTATACTGGTATAGCACCAAGTTGTAAAACGTCAATATACATAAAACTGCAGAAATTGCCACAAAAGATCACATCTTGCCCTTACTCCCTGTCCTTGCAAAAGTCCTGATATGGATACAGCGATGTTCTGCTGTGCTGGTACTCCCACATTTGACGTGAAGAGTACAGGCCACTGAGAAATGAGTGGGGAGGAATTACAATTCATTTCACACCTCTTTTCTTTTCAGGAAATTTCTATCTGTTTAGCTTTGTATTTGTACATGACTGCAGCTAGCGCCAATTACCTGAGAAGTGTAAAGGCCTCGCAGACAAGTTCCATACCAGCTTACACCCTAATCTGTAATCCTTAAAGCCTGAGATCTTTATTTTAGTAACACTTCCAAACATGATCCAAATATTTGTGGTATCAAAGTCAGTATCTAATACACCTTACATACTATTCAACTTCTGACATGAATAGCCATCTAATACAATGGAAAAGGTATTCTCCCCCCCCTTTGTTTTTCTTTTAAAACTGCCCAGGTCTGTTTATTTGCATGTAATTTGAATTTCAATCAGAATACTTAAAATGACACAATTCACCTAGTAGTGTTTAATGACATAAAATAATTCTGTCAGTTAACTGAATCTGATGCCAAGAATAATTGTTATATGTTCCTTTATAAAATATGGCATCAAAACCAGCATTATATGAAACGCTACTGACAAATGTAGCTTTTAGAGGTAACCCAAACATTCAGGGGTTTTGTAACATAAGCCATCTACTGCGAACATACACATTATGCCATACATGTACAACAATTTTAGGATCGACTTAAAAATTAGGAAAACATTTCTAATACTGTATACCTGGAGCTCTCGAATATCAAACTGTTCTTCAAAGATATAAGCAGCATCAGCTCCTGCCGCAAGGGCCCCCATATTA